CTTTTCTTGGAGAGCGTGTTGCTCATATATGCTCTCTATGAAGTTGCTTCTCTAAACAAAATGGCTGCGTCAAAAGGAAAGCTGTCTGGACAGTGAGGTGGAGTGCTGCTCTTTCTCTGTTGAAGAACGCTTGGCAGTTTGATACTTTAGACCCATGTTACGGATAAAAAAAAACAGGAAGCTGGATGCTTTCCGTTTAAGGCTCGTCAAATTATGATGCACTGGAGAAATGCAGCCTTCTGCGTTAAGTCCTCATTTCGAACTCTTTTTGTTCGCCTCCGCCCATTGAAAAGCATGCGGGAAAGGCCTTAGAATGCACCTGGTATATCGCTGCCGCAGAAGGCTGCATTTCTCCAGCGCATCATAATTTGACAAGCCTTAAACGAAAAGCATGTTTTCTTGGCCATCCAGCTTCCTGCTTTTTTTATCCGTAACATGGGTCTAAAGTATCAAATTGCCGAATGCTTAGCACAAGGAGTAAACCCGACGATAGTATTGTTTCTCCCGAAAAGACTCCATTTAGAAGACTTGTCTATGAACTATGTGATTTAAAACCTTAACTAAAGCTCAAAAGATAACTGAGAATGTGCTGCAGCTATCAAACCGCGCAGAGACCGACCGCCAAACTAAAGTGGCGAGACGGGCTGGCTCTCCGCCAGTTGGTGCGGCGCTATGGCAGTGGAACATCGCTGTGTGACGTCATGTGCAATGGCCTGAATTGGCACGCACTTTTTCGCGAAGCACCAATGTTATGAATCCGAATATTGGCGAGGAGATCGAACTACGGGAGGGAGGGCTTTGTCCAGCGCGTTTGCCGGTTTATCCAACCTGTGTGGACGGTGAATTGGTTGCTGCTTCATCTCCTTTGATCGTGGATGGCACACGAGCGCAGTTGTCGGCGTTTTTATTTTAGGCATTTCTCATTGGACCCTCTATAGTATTATTCAAACGAACCAACAAACTGAAACCATCCACTAAACTTTCCTTCCAAGTAAATGTTTTTTTGTTTTTTTTTAAACGGACATTGGCATAGAAACCTGGAAATCATCACCTGGTAATTTCCTCTCAACCTGATTAAAACAGAAACCTGTAATGTTTCTACGTACCTCAAATTAAGCGAAAGTCATAGGAAATAATCACAGTTAAGAATATATTTAAGAACCGGACTTCTCTAATGAGCGAAAGGCCGAAAGTCACTAGCCGCACATTGTGGAAGTATGACATGAGGACGATTGGTTCTGTCCTTCGTCATTAGAGAGTTTTAGCCGATCGTTTTTTCACCCCGATAACGACACCCGAAAACGATATGATGCATGCCCAAGGCCGCCGGAGGAGAGAGGAGGTATCATTATCAAAGCGAAAAAACAATCTGCTAAAACTCTCAATTCTCGATGTTCAGTACAATCAACCCTCACCAGCTCCTCTTGTTCAGCTTTCTTCAGTCAACAAAAAGTTCATTAATGAAAAAGAAAAAGATTATGCTTTGTTCACGGGTGTTTGACCTCCATCTTCCAAAAAGGCTTCATTTCTTTCTACGTAAAACAACAAACTGCGTTTTGAAGCGGGCACGGCACGAAAGGTAAAGCTGCATACATTCTTCCCTGACCCCAATAAAAAGAAGAAAAAGAAAAAGGATGTCCTTGGCTGGTCGACTATGTCCTCAGCGGTTGCACAGTAACGCGTGGCTTTAAACGCCTTGTTAATACTTTCGTTTTTTTTTTCTTTCTTGCTTATTCGTGCTTTTTTTTTATTTGTTTATACTTGATTGATCTACATTGGGCGAAGTGGGAGTCGCTTTGTTTATCTTCGCTTCCCTTTTTCTTGTTTTTTTGTTTCGTGGAATTGGGGTGTTTTTCTTGTCACAGGCGCTACAGGCTGGCTGGTATTGTTAGCGGTATTTTCGCTTGGAGTTGCAAAATAAATGAAGCTTGCACGTTCAATATAGGTATATAAAAGGTGTGTAATTTTAATTTGTACAGATTAAAAAGAAAAAAAAAGGGGGGGGGTTTTTGGAGTGGGGTAGAGTTTGACTCTATCCTGGGGCCCTAATCTGGACACTTGGCAGAAAAGTCGGCGAGAAATTCGGCGGCTATGATCGGCCGGCGCCGAGGTCAAGTGTGGCGTTGGCCAATCGCGGCAGCCAAATTTCTCGCTGTTGTTTTCGCCAAGCGCCCAGCTTAGGGCCCCTGGATTGTATTTATCAGGCTCGGCAGACATGATCTGAGGAGATAGTCGTCACGGTAAATTGACCGATTACCTGAAATCTTTTAATTAACGATTAGAGGCCAGATAAATTTAAAGAATTTGCTAAAAGGTAACAATTTTCTAGATATTAATCAAGTGTCTCGTCTTTTCTCCCGGTTTAAAAATTGCATGCAAAAAGAGTGCATCACGCCCTGCCCACAATGATGCTTGGAAGAGTGACGTAGTTCTTTGGGTCATTTAGGTTTGAAAGTTCGAATATTTGCTCCTCCCAACGATTTTTTCCCCTCTCTTTCTCCTTAAACAACAGTGCATTTACCAAATCAGTGACACCTTCGGAAACTACCAGGTCAAGCCCTTTACAGTTGAATGTCACAGCTGTCTCATCCTCCTCTCCACACACTTGATGTATTGCCTCTTCATACCTATAGTCTATAGCTATGTACATCCTAGTCTGCATGCATTCTCATTCTGCAAGCAAATGTCTTACCTAAAATAGCGTTAGAGAGACCCCACAAAACGTCGGGTACTCTCACAAAACGCTTTAGTAGGCCGAAACTTGACGGATCATCTTTTAGGCCCCGAAGTTTGCAGACGAGTTACCTTACAGTTTTATCAACTCAAAGTGGAAAAGTAGCCTCATTGCCAACCTCTAGACACCAGTATAGACCCTTTCCAAAATTTTGTGTGGCCACTTTGATCACTATCATCATCTGAAAAATTCTGTATGTGCCGTACTAATGGCGGCCTTCTGTTTACTGATGAAGGAAGAAGTTGAAGATGCCCCTAAGCTGATGGTTTGAGGCCTATAAACATTTGAGACGTTAGCACGATCCGAAGCAGGAATTAAATGCAAGAGCTGCGTCAGTGTTCATTTCAAACTCTGGTCCCGACAATCTATTAGTAGCACACCATTGGTATCAAAGCCAATTGATGTAAATAACTTTATTGAGGCGTCTATATGGGTTGGCACTTCGTTCTGACTGGTTGCATCTTTTTTGCCATCGACACTGAAAAAGATTGAGAAAGAGCTTACAGTTAAGCGCACATTCTCGTCTGCTGTTCACTTGCGAAAGTGACAGTGCCCGATACAATACTGCAAACTAGAGGTTCATTGCCGCCACTAGTACGGCAAAAGTCAAACTGCTGTTTGAGCTACCAGGGCCGGTTTTCTCGAAGCGATGGTAAACCCATTTCGGTAAACCACGGTGCCTATGAAGGAAAAAGTACCTAGGTACTGTAATAAACGGCTGGATATACAACAACAATAATTATTTTTGATTGGGCAGTAAGATGCACCATCTATTGGTGAAACAAGCCAGTCATTTTGTTTACCTCTTTTTCTGCTGGTTGTTATCAATCTAGTATGGTATTTTAAGTAAAAATATAGTAATGTTGTACTTGAAGACCAATTTATTTGCTTCAGATGGTACGAAGAAATTTTAGCTACTATGCTAGAGTTTGCCGACGAATATTCGAAAATGTAAGAAACATTTCCTTGAATATGTTTTGCCATAAACAACGCATCCCGTGTGCCTTCCAGTGTGGCAACGCCGGTGCTGTAGTCTCATTTTTGTTCCTTGCGACGCACGTTTCTGTGATTCCTGCTGATCTTAACTGTTTGCCCCCTTTTTCTTTTGCCCAACCGATCCACCGGTGACGAGGAGCTAAGCTGCTCGTCACCGTTGAATTGCTGGCCACCGGGGATATGTAAAAGCCTCGATGCTGTCGGCATACTGTCGGCGCACTGCGAACAAAAAAACAGTACAATGTCCCAGCTGTTCACCCGGAACGAAGACTTTATCGAGGATAACCCCCTTTCTTTGCAAAGTAATCGCTGCTCACAAGCTGGCGTGCATAGTATAACAAATTAAATGTGTTAGTATAAATATATACCAACACTCGTTCGTAAAACATTTTTTAACTCATTATAAAAACACTTGCAAGGCTTATGTACCGTCATATGTCTTGAATCCCGGACTGCTGAAGAGTGATGCGTTCGCGGAATGCTGCGCCGTCAGATAGTTTAGTAGTCCCTCTGAACTACCTTTGCTTGACGTACTAAGAGGTTGATGGTGCGTCATTAATATAACAGCCGGATCGAAATGAATGTTCAGCAGAACCAAGAAGAACTATTAGCCCTCATTAAGCAACGTCGCAGCCATTTTGCTTCTAGCTACTGCTCCTACCTCGGCGCCCCTGCTCTCCCAGTCACGTGACCTAGAATTTCCTCTTCTAGGGACAATAGTTAACTTTAACCCACGGTTCGCGTTCAAGAAAACGGGCCCAGATGGCAGTGAATTTCGGAAAGGGTCTATTGCTGCAGCAAATATCCCAGTTAGGTTTTTCACAGCCCAATTTGGTAAGCAGCTGAGCAGGCTCAACAATTGCACTACCAACCATGTTGTTGCTGACGTCTGCTTTGCCGGCGCTCTTCTCTGGGCGTGAATACTGAAATTAACCTAGCTTTAACACACTACCTGTAAAATATTGTGAAATATTGATCACACAAAGATGTCACACTATGATGACGTACACTTAGCGTACTACTCATTATAGCAGATGTTTGCACCCACGAAATACGCCCAGAACTTTTCACTTCACAAGAATTGTGAAATATTGAGCTCGCAAAAAGGAAGTGATGTACAGTACTTCCATGTTTCAGCGGTATCTGAACTGGAGCAAATAACACACATTCAATAGAAGGTTGAGAACAATCTAATATTCACTAAGCTATTTTGCTTGGTGCAGCAAAGAAGTTACACTGTTAACAGCCTATGTATGTCTGTCTCTCGCAGAGGTGGGCCCCAACATGGCGACGTGCAAGCGCAGGCTGTCGTGCCCGCAGACTGTGCAGCACCTCTGGGACGCTGTCGACTCCATCCGACAGCAGAAACAGGTGAGGCCAACATCTTGCAATAGGCCGAGCCAATAAAGGTTTGGTGCAAGCACGTAGCCAGGGGGTAACCCTATGGGGCCCGCCCCCACCCCGAAATCTTCCATCTTGCTGGGGCCTCCTCTCCCCTCTCCCCCCTCTTCCTCATACAGCATTTTGTCATGGGTGTCCCTCCCTCCCTCCCTCCCTGAATCAAAATCCTGGCTACATGCCTGGTTTGGTGCCGTAGGAGAACAGTACTACCGTGCAGCCATGCTACCAGAAAGTGATTGTCGCACTGTTTTCTTTTGTGGGCTGCAACAAATACCAGTAGTGACACCATACCAAAGGACAATCCAGACCCAGCAGCATTTATTAGGACAATGGTTTTCTAAACACACTGCGGCTGAGTGAGTGGGGAAGGTGTCAAAAAAGCCCCGAGCCACCATCGACCGGAGAGCCATAGAAGCCACATACCTTCGGGGGAGGACAACAGCACACGTCCTCCGTCTCCGGAGTTGAAGAGCAAACTTGGTGCGGCAACCGCTCTCCCAGTACTGAGGCCGTGAAGCGACTGATCTTCTCGGGCATTGGGCTTTTATGGGCTCGGCCTTGCGCGAGAATAATGCAATCCCCACGAGGGATTTGATGCTAACTGCTATTGCAAGTGTGGGCCCCCTGTTTTATTTGAATCTCAGAATCTATACAAAGTATATGCGCCAATGTGCCAGTCTGTGTCCATTATTGTTGCGCTGAATGTGCTGCAAGCCAGACCTTGGCGTAGTTCAGTGTTGATGAGGTGATGACATTAGGGTACTCTGGGACAGAGTGTCGAACCGAAAATGTTATTAGTTTGGGTTCGGGTTTACCGCTTTCCGTTCATTTCCGGGTCAGCTCCGGAAAGCAAAAATACTGGTTTGAACCGGTTTGGAACGTGCACATGTCTATCCAAGGTAGCAATGCCGGGCAAAAATTTCCAGAATTTGTTTAGTAGTGGGGAGTGCATTCAGTTACGATGTATATTTTAATAAATGAGATGGGCTTTTTTTTTAAGTTATGAAAAACCTTATTCATACTTGTGGCACCATATATCGAAAATATCAGGAGCATGACTCAAACTGCCTTAAAGATGGTGGCGTGCCATTCCTGCTTTGGGAGGCAATAGGGGGCCACTCGGAATGGGATGCTTCTAGATTGCAGTGAAGCATCAAGTTACTCAAAGCGTTCCTCAACAATCTGAGCACCTCTGATGCAGCGCTCACATTTGGATTCTCACATTTGCCGATCTGCACTAATCTCTTAAAATAATCATGCAAAATGTTTCCCGAGGTCGCCAGGCTTATGTCACTCCTGAACCCTGCACCTTTCCCGAAGCCTAGCACCTTGTACGGCGAAATCATGAAGCTGCACAATTGTATAATGAACTCCGAAATTTGTGGAACGCATCTTTTTAGCTGTTTTTTTGTTTAAAAGTACTTTTTGCCAGTTTGGAAGTGGGATATTCAATGAATGCTTAATGATTGTATACTGTGATCAATAACAGACCATGTCAAATGTCAGCATGCAAGAAATTGTTTTTTTTTAAAACCAACGGTCACCGCGACTTTGAAAGTCCTTGTCCAGAATTGGGTCCAAACTCAGATGAAGAGGCCGCCGTCTTTGAGGCTTGCAGCATGGCATTTTCAACAATGTGCCGACAGGCACGTTGCCTTTACCAAAAGCGTACTGTATGAAGTTGACATCACTGTGGGCAGTGGTTTATCCGGGGTGGAGGCCACCTCAGCCCCCCCTCACCCCTATTCCAAAAAAAAAAAATCCTGGCTAACACCACTGACTGCATGCGAGCGACACGGGAGCTCGCAGCATGAAAATATGGCATTTGTTTGGCCGGTCTGCAGAAACAAGTTTCTTTATTTCCTATTTGACACTGTGAAACACCGGGTTACAGGGTATGTAAAGATGAATCATGCGCTCACATGATAGATCTGAAGGCTAATACGCAAAATGTATAATTCTTTGCAAAATCCAATAAAAGATCGCTTTACTGCAAAAAAAAAAAAAAAAAAAAAATTGACATGGAGATGCAACTACTGACAGTGGTACCAATAGAGGAACCAAAGGGCTATCTCAACAGTGGCGACGATCTCAAAAAAGTCGTCAAACCTAGTGATGCGGTTCCCACATCTCCATGAAGATGTAGACCATGTTTAGGGTTACATTACCATGGCTCGGTTCAATAAATACTTCTGTCAGTGCCAATAATCAATTGCCCTGTCTCCTTCTTTCGTATATAGCAGAAGAGAACACACACGTACCAGAGTAAAGATAGTGTCCAAGAGCATTTATTAAAACTCTTAAAATGAACTAATATGTCCCCATCCAAAATGCCTCCTGTGCTGGCAAATTAAGACAAAGGTCCTTACCCGTCAGACGCGGGGTCCTGGAGAGCCAAGATCAGAAAAGCATCGGAGAGGACCCCAAAACACTTCCATCTCTTTCACGGTCGTCGGAAGAGTCCATTTCCCGACAGCAGAACAATACGGGGCAAAACCTCCTCGCCTGTCAGTCATGAGCTGTATCTGAGCAAGGGAATGGAAGGAGGTCCCCCCTGGAAAGAGTGAGGGGAGGGCCCTTAAAGAGGGGACTCCCTGCTTCACAAACAGGCCGGAGTTCACAGAGAGGGAGGTCGAGCGTCCCGACCCGTGGCATTAATCACAGCCACCGGGGAAGGGAGACCACAGAAATCCCCACAAATAATATTCCTAATATAGATCACACTTAGGCACCAGCAAAAGCTAGAAACATTGCAAAATATTGCTGTCGCAAGGCTCATATCATATTCAGTTTTACTTGCACGTGTATCTGCCCTCACTTTACAGCTTATGAGCTTCATCAGTCATACACTGCAACATTTTTAGTCTCCTTACCCGCGAGACTGTTGCATACTGGGAAATCTCCATAACTTGGATTGTGTCTGCTTGGCTGATATGTTGCAAATACTGCATTTTGCCAGGAAATGGAACTTCTTCTAATAAACGTCGTGCACTTGACATCATTACAACATGCTGACAGTCGTTGGCACTTTTTCTTGCGGGCAAAAAGAAATTTGGCGGTGGGATATGTATGCTGCAGTAGGTACGCGATCAGCAGCTAGGTTACTAAAATGGCAGCTGATGCCTAAGTGCAAGCTGTGTATTTGAGAGAAACACGATTTTTGCTTGGCACAGCATTGTGAGGAACAACGCGAGCATGTGGCAACATAAAAACACGCTTTCTGGCACGAGTGTTTGTGTAAACAAAGTAGTTCCAGGGCTACGCTCTGTGGTCTCTCTGTGCAGCGTGTTCCAAAACAATTTATGGTGTTTTGTTCATCGGAAAAATAAACTATGCATCACCGAACGCTCATCCTCTGCCCAAATGAAATGCTAGTGGCACAAAACAGATGCCAAAGTTTTGAAGCTAACTGTTATCTAATTAAAACAAAAAGAAGTTATAATTGATTTTTTGAAAATTTCAATGGGAAAATGGGGGCTATTCTCGGTAACTGGTGCCATTCAACTTCATGTATTTGAAAGCTTCGTCGCCGCCATTTTTCCACCGAAAAGATAAGAACATTGCTTACAATATCAGTCAAACCCGTTTATATCGAACTTACCAAAAACTGTCTACCAGTTCGATATAACGGGTAATTCTATATAAAAGTTTTAATGATTTTGTCAACGAACAAGTATGCCACATTTAGAAAAGTTGAGCTACTCTCGAAGGAGCATCTGTACGTCATGAGGGGTGCTCCACGCGGCTACTCCCAGTGGCTGCTTCTTCGTTTCTCAAGGTTTCACCAGCTCGCCCTCTCCCCGCTCTCTCTGCTAAAGAGATTTCTTTTGTTTCTTCTGGGCAGTCGACGCGGCCACCTAAAAGAAAAAAAATCCAGTTTTTTCTGCTAGCTGGCTTTCCCCCAATGAGTTTGCATGTGTTGGGGGAAAGCCAGGTTACAGAGCAAAATGGTGCTCTTTGCAGTTCGATATATCAAGTGACGCTGCAATTTTTGTTCGTTGTAACCACATTTTTTTCTATGCATTTTTATTGCAGCTACTAGTCTTTTCACAAAATAGTTCAATACAAGGAATAGTTTGAATTAACCGGGTTTGATATAATCAGGTTTTACTGTCTTTTAAATAAGATGATGATTAGTTCTGAAACTTTGGCATCTAGTTTGTACCGCTATCGCTAGATTTTGGGTGGAGGATGAGTGTTTGGTGACGAGTCACTTGTTTTTGAGGTGAAGCAAACCCTGCAATTTGTTTAGGGGGGAACACACTGTAGATACGGCGCCAAAAAACTTTTTTTGACTCTGCATGTTTCTAGAACTACCTTTCCCCTTTTTCTCTGTCCTTCCCCCGTTTATTGGACAATCATTTTTGAGTCATTTTGCACCCAAGGACTGGGAAGTTTAAGCAAAATGCAGAGGTGGTTGCCGCTGATAGCAAGAACCTGAGAACGAACCTCCTGAGCTCTGTGAGGGTATTTTTTTTTTATCTCCCACCCCCTTGTACAGACTTGTAGTTCTACGTAATGTATTGTCCAGTTATTAAGTCTCATTTAGTAGTTTCAATATTTCTATACTCGGTGACAGCATTTTGTAGCAGTTCAGAAGTAAAGGAAGCATACTTATGTGCCTTCGTGCTACCTACTATCGTGAACAGTACGAGCGGGAACGCCAGATCGAGTGGCCTAGAACTCTGCACCGCACCGGCACGAAGCAGCACGAATTGTTTCTGGTCTCGGGCTGGGCCCAGGCTAAAAAGCATGGATTCTTTCTGGACCCAGGCCGGGCTTGGGCAATGGTGTAGTACACTTTGGAAAACATTAAGAAAATGCTAACGCAATGATTGTTTAGATTTGAAAGAAGTGAAAAAGCCGAAGTGCCAACCGACGGACACATAAATACTGAACATTTATGACCCATTGTGACTTCAGCTCATACTGGACTGCATAAAATCTGGGACTTGTACATGCTTTGTAGTAATGTCTCCAAACACTTATTCATCTCTTGAACAAGTGCTATTAAAGGAGCTGTGCAACAATTTTAGGGCTTTGATTAAATTATTGTGGAAGTTGATGCCTGACACTTCTGCAGTGAACTACAGAAAAAAGATTTTGCCCGGATACCCTAGCTTTTATTTACAAAAATGAAAAAGATCCAGGTTTTTGCTGCCTCTCAACTCGTACGTCGTCTTCCGGGTCATGTGTGCAGTGACGTTGAGGGGGTAGGCGCGGAGTTCCGGAAAAGTTCTTTCTTTAGAGCCATCAGTGAGCAGCGAGAACTCATCTGCTCGCGGGTGCCGCGCGAACAATATGGTGAAAGGAGGAAAGTCTCATTTGGGCCCGGCCATAGCCCGTCAGGCCCTGTCCCCCTCCCCCTCCGGCTTCTGGCGGCTGTTCGCGGTAGCAGTTAGAGCTGACGGTTTTGTGGACCTAGGATAGATGGCGCCACTAAAACTCCGTATAATAAAAGTTTTGTCGATGATACCAGGTTTTTGACGCATGTTGGAATGACAAGATTTATAGAAAAGTTACCTTTTATCGAGTAGGTATTCGCACAACTTGCTATCTTTCTACAAGATTCCCCTTTGACGTTACGCCGCGTGTTTCTCATGGCCGCCGCTCGCGGCTGCAGGTCGGAGAATATTCCAAGTTTTGCCTCGCTATTACGCAACGGAATTGCAACATTTCGATGAAAGGAGGTGTGTTTTCTGTCATTTGTGACAAGGTGAACTATATCAAAAGCACAAGATACCAATTCTTTCAACGTTAAAATCGTTTCACAGTTCCTTTAACATCGCTATGTTGACACTAAGATCTTTATACAACACAACATCTTGACAGCATCTTTTAAGCAAATTAGGCTAAACGAACAAAATACACCAACAACTTCCCAGGGCAGCTTTGAATTTAAGAGATGCATGGACCGGGCCTGATCAGGTATAGGCATCCCATCGACCAAGCCGGGCCTCAAAAACTAGGCCCGTGCAGTACTCTAGCGTGGTTTTCGACACCTCCTGTGCTACCTCGAGGCTGATAGAACAGCATAGTAGAGACGGGGCTGGGAGAGAGAGTGCTTACTCCAATGTGTTCATCTGATTGCAATACCCGCTCTCCACCATGCTGTTTTAGCAGCCTCAACGTAGCGCAGCATGTATCGAAGGCCACGCGCTCCGGCGTTGCCGCTCATACGGTTCGCGATAGTATATGTTAAAACTGACCGTGCAGCGGCTTTTGCAGTGTCAGTATATGTATTCCACCTCTAACTAATCCTCGACAACCTAATCCTCCTGAAGACGCACTGGCTTTTCCCTCCACGAAATTGCAGTCGCAGAAAAACACATAAGCAGCGTTCCCCCTCAACTCGCAAGTAGGTCAAGCGGTCACGTGATCTGGTGCTAATTGTATACTGCCAATGTCTATCATAGCCATGTGCTGGGAATGGCAAAGCGTAGGGCACGGGCTGAGCTTCACAAATTTTTATTGGAGTTTGTCTATTTTTCCCTTCTTCGATTGAACACGACTCGCTACTCTAATGTTTGCCGATGTTATGATCGTCCTGAGACGCAGTCGAGTGTTCGGGCACACAACAATCGAGTATGTCATGGTATCTCTTGACACACACTGCGATGTTGAGGGGGTATGAGGCGTCACACTGTCAACAACGTCACTGGATCTATTAACATTAGGGGTAAAATAGTGGTGTAGTGTCATGGTGTAACGCTATGCAACGACTTGATGCCGTGACGTCACGTGACTGCATCGCATAATACTGTTGCGTGACAAATGACATCACATAATTAATTGGAATGCTAATACGAAGCTGCCATGAAATCCCACCATTTCTCATTCATGGCTACTAATTCGGTATATGACGGTTTTCCGATAGATATAGCAAATACCACTGCCAATTTTTCAGTGACCTAAAATTCAGTCCGTAAAAAAAAAAAGACAATTGTTTTAAATTGGTTGTTGTTAAATTTTTTTCGGTTTCAGTACCGGTTTGGTTCCATGGCGGTGGTAACAATTTTGGTTTGGTTTGGTTCCGGTTTGACTAAAAATAACAGTTCGGTTCCGGTTTTACACTCTGCTCTGGGCACTTTTGGTGGGCTGCAGCTGCATTTTGGTCATCCCCTATGTGTGCCTACCTCAGTATCCCGAGAGAGGCCCCACCCTCAAAGATAACCTGCCCCCTCTTTTTGACTCGATTTGCTATTTATTTTTAAACACCGAAGCATAACCCACTCCTAGTAATTGCTGTGCTCGAATCAATGATGACCTCGGCGTAAAGGCAGCTAGTTAGCCATGGCGGAATATAAACAAACATTGCTGACTGGGAAGTACAGTCATCTTTAATTCATTGCCCTTTGTCTTTGCTAAGAAGTTCGGCAGGGGCATAACTTTTTTCGATTGCACACGGAAAGTTAGCCCATTTTTCGTTTTCACCCGATTTGCTTTTGATTTTTGGCGGGCTATCTTTCGGGACGTTGCGATAGTCTAGTCCCAGTACACTCAACATCCTTCCCCGTTCTGGAGCGGATTAAGTGGAGCGGGGTCGTTGCCCGTGCTGCCCAGGTGAGCAACCTGGAGCGGGTGGCCAACTACATGCGCCGCAAGCACCACCTGTCGGCAGCGGACACGGAGCGGCAGCTGGGCCACGCCGTGCGGGACGCCCTGATGCTCTCCCGCAAGAAGATGGGCTTCAAGGGCTCCAAGGTGGGCGTGCCCCAGGAGGCCTTCCAGCTGCCCGAGGAGCCCCCGGTGAGAACCCATTTCACGCTGCCTGGAACATGTCTGATGGGTGTGATCTCGAATGTGGTCCCCCGATTTCCACCTGATCACGTACTGTCACTGGCCGCGATCTTGGTGGCGCCCCAGCGGTGGGGTTGGATGTGGCAGGCGCCTTTCATACTGCAGGTCACTCTCCAGCTCCAGAAGTTGGGACGCCGCAACGACGGTGGCACTCATGCTCGTTTCTCACTTTTTGTTGGGACTTCTAGCACCAGCTGCCAGGATGGTGACATCCGACGACATGACACCCCAGCTTTTTTATTTATTTATTTGTTTGTTTATTTATTTAATATGTACCCCAAAGTGCCCTTTCGGGCATGGTATGAGGAGGGAGGGAGTTACAAAGGTAGAGACAGTGCAGTACAAAGTAACAGATACAATACATAAGTCGTAGGAAAACAACAAAAGCATACCACTATTAATTATTACAATAATATACGCATGTCGGACAAACAAAAAGTTTTTGAACAAAGAACAGCAAACAAAAATGACTTTGCACACAAGATTCATTCCGGGATGATGTGAAATAATATTTCACGTGAAGATCTGAAATTTGCTCCATCTGCAATTTTAACTTTACAATGAGGTAAAGCGTTCCATTCCAAAATGGCAAGCTGCAATGGAAAATTGCAAAATTGGTAAGATACTACAATGAGGTGAGCGAAGTTTGTGAGCATGATGATGTCTATAAAAAATAAGGGGTGTGCGAATATTCAAAATTTCGAATATGAATCAAATATTTTCCTTATTCGAAACATATTCGATTCAAAAATTGCATATTCGCAAGTTCCTGAATATTCGGAAAACACGGTGAATAGTCAGACAAACCGCGAATATTTGAGCAAGTAACGAATGATCTGCCTGCCATGCATTCCAGGCACGCATTCCTTTCACTGAGAAAGGCGTATGTGCGTGCGTTATCAGTCTGCTCGGTTTCTATCTGTCCGATGGCAGCAAGACAGGATCAGTTTTGGTTTCTTTTGTACCAAGCAGGGTAAGATAGACAGGTGGGGAAACGGCCCATACAAACCTACCGCAGCGCCGTGACCAGATTGTGTACCCGTCTGCTTGCAGGTACTCCCAATTTGCGACAGATGGCGCTGCAGCGAGAGGAAAAAAAATTGGAACCGAATTTGCATGGAACTCTGTGGGAGAGTGCGCAAAACAAACCGAGAGTATGACGGTCCTCCATTGAAAATCCACGAGAAACTTTTTCCGTCAGTTTAGCAGGTCGCCACCGTTCGCCCACCTGGAGTGAGAGTTCGCGGTGCTCCACATAGATGGCGCCAGAGAAAAAGAAAACCGAGGGGGACACAATCCGGTCGCTCATTTGGCTCTCGTTTCACCACCTGTCTATCTTACACCCTGGTACCAAGCCTTTTGTTGTGTGGCACTTTTATAGCAATATGTGATGTAATTGCCCGCTCTATAAATTGATACAATAAAATTAACCTCGAGAGTGAAATATAAACAAAAAATAATTCTTGAAAGAAAAATCTAGGTGCGAGTAGAACATTGCATCACCATTGACAACAACCCCTGCCACTCCTGCGCACTCAAAACTAGGGATGTCGCGAACCTGCTCAGGTTCGAGTTCGACCAAGTTCGACTTTTTCTAACCTTCAACGTGATGTTCGACAAAGGTTCGACTGAAGTTTGACTTTTGTGTGCATGCGGGAAAATTAAAAAAGCTAGTTGACTCCACCTGGAGGAGGAAAAGTGCAATATTTGTTGGGTTTATCGGGATCGCTGGTTCACATTAATAACTAATGAAATCATTACAAGCACATATTTTTGCTTTTATGTGGTGTAAACATATTGGTAACCATTTCGTGAAATATAAAATAAAGCACTTTCTAAATTATTTGTTTGCCAAAATTTGAAATATTTGTGTAGCAGCCGGGCAACACTGTTCATAAGTCGAACTTCTTCAAACTTTAGTGAAATTTCGCAGGTTTCCCGAGTGAAAGGGTCTTTCTACTGGCGAAAATGTTGTCTTGGCACGTAGGGAGCGCTTACTTTCTGAACACGTTGAGCAGTTAATTTTCCTACGTGATAATTTGTAATGAGTGCATTACTAGAAGCATCTTTAGCCTGTTGCAGCCCAGTAAAATGCTGTTGCATTGATTTATTTTAAAAATGCTATAAAACCTGCTGTTACCTCTTGTTTTATAATTTTTTATTACTAGGCACATATTTAATATTCGAAGCCCATTTTTTGTCTATTCGTATTCGATTCGCATTTGAAAATTTTAATATTTGCACACCCCTATCATAAATGCGATGGGCTGAAAATAATAGACATTCTTTGAGAGGAACATTATAGTAATACATGTTGTGAAGGAATGTGAGACGTGAGACCCTATGCCTGGTTTCTAATAGAGGTATAAGTGCTCTTTGTTTCTGTGCCAAAATGCTCGTGTAAGGTGAATGGTCGTGGAAAATGAAGCACGCCCCTTTGTTTTGAATGCTCTCTAATTTAGTCTTCAGATAATCCTGATGACGAGCCCATATGATGCTAGCATGCTCCAGTTGCGACCTGACAAATGATTTAAAAGCTAGCAGACGAGTTTCAGGAGATGCTAAAAACAGTTTGTATCTAATAAACCCCAGGGAACGATTTGCCTTGCCCAACAAGTCGAAGCTCGTCAAGCTTCGACTTGTTTGCCGCTTGCGGTTGGTGAAGCGCCCACGAACGATGATGTGATGCGCAGGCCTTTGTCTTCTAGTTGGCGCTGACCGTAGTTGACACCCTGTCCTGCTGGTGCACGCGCACGACCGTCTGGGCAGGCAAACCGGAACGCCGTGTGGCTGGATTCTGGAAAATCTGCAGCAGATCTGAAGGACGCGAATTTCAGTAGTAGTGCACCGAGGAGACTCGTCGTAGACGAAGTATGATTGAGGCATGCGAGCAAAGTCGAAGGCGAAAGCGGCACGAAAATTTTTAGAATTGTGCTCCGGAGGCGGCGCAGAAACTACGACGGTGCCACGATAATAGTGCATTATGCGAGTGGTGAGCGGCTGTTTCTGTGACGCGCACGTTTTAGCTGGGTTGGCTCAGAAGTCTATGCCTTTTGCTAAGTTTTGGAATGCTTCAAGTTCACGCATTTAAAAAGTGGCGGGTGGGTGCTTATTGAGACATGGGTGCTTATTGTAGCTTGGTGTTTTATGGTCTTGTGTATCCCAGTGAGTTTGTGAAGTCGAGAGACGCCAACGGATAACAAAGTTCCCAAAGGTACGCCTTTTTTGCCGAAATAACAGACATTTTCCACCACCGTCGTGCGCGGGGCCGCTAGGCCTAGGTGTGCTCCACGAGCGATAGGCCTAGTCGCTGTCGCTCCTGCCGCGGCTCGCCGTTTCGGCGGCGGCCACTAAGCCCCGAGATGGAGGGGACGTCCGCTCGGGCAACGATCTTCGACTCCCAAATGTGCGTGCAAGTTCAAGGCGAAGATCTTTCACCAGAGGAATTCCACAGCGGCACTGGATGGACGCAAGTGGGGGAACGCATGTCCAGACTACGTCAACGAGACCTTGTCGCGAAGCTCGCCGGCACCGACAACCAAGTAAGCAAGAATGCGAAGGGTAACAAGAACGTTAGAGCCTCGGCCATCAAGGCAGCGAGAATGCCAGCCATGCCGCTGGAGGAAAACAAGATCGTCATCAGACCCCGTGGGGGATTGGACATTACCAAGATTGGCACCACGACCGTCGCCACGGCCATTCTCGCCGCGGCCAAGATTACGACTGAAGAGAACGCATCAGACACCATTTGCCCAAACGCGCTACAAAACATCATGGTAGTCAGCACGCCTAAGGAGGAAAACGCCGTCCGCTACGCGAGAATTCAAACGATATCCATTCAAGACAAGACCTTCGAAGTCAGCGCGTACCGCACGGCGCCGCACGACACCGTGAAGGGCATCATCCGCGGCATCCCTGTCAACGCGAGTGCCGAAGAACTCGACAGCAACATTGTAAACGACAGAAACCCACTCGCCGTAGGAGCCAAAAGAATCGGCAACACGACCACGATCATTGTAGCCTTCGGAGGACCCAAGGTACCGAACTTTGTCCGATACGGTGTCACGCTCATACCGTGCAACCTGTATAGAAAGCAAATAGACGTCTGCCACCAGTGTGGCCGGGTCGGGCATCGCAAGGACGTGTGCCCAACTCCAACCAACCGCATCTGCAGGGGCTGCGGCCAAACAAACCCAAAGGAAGACCACAAATGTACGCCCAAATGCAAACTTTGCGGAGGCGCTCACTTGACCGCCGATAGAGAATGTAAAGCCAAATACAAGGTTCCCTACGTCGTCCGCAAGCGGCAGTGGGAGCGCCGAAAGCAAAACGTCAGCGACTGGCTGCCGTTGGAGAGCAACTTCCCGCTACTCGACGAGCCAGCTGCCCGCAAGTCAAGGACGCCATCGAGAAACCGCGCGCCGTCGAGAAATAGCAGCAGCAGGAGCCAGAGCAGAGACGCGCGACAAACAAAAAGCCAAAGATCAAAGTCGCGCGAGAGAGTCAGTTGGGCCGACGCCGCACGAGGTATCAAGAAGACCAATTCGAACGACAATGCCAAGAAAGAAGACAAAGCTTCAACCAAGGAACGAGAAATCAACGAGGCCCTGAAACAGGAGAACGCGTCCCTGCGAGCCACCATCAACAACCTCACCAAGGAAATAGCGGAGATTCGCAACGTCTTATGCACCATCGAACAGCCAAGATCCTGCCCGAGCGACAACAACAAGGTCGAAGAAGCTACGACAGACGGAGATAAAGCACCGGCACCGAAGAAAAGGGCCTTCGAATTGCGTAAGACCACGAAAAACGTAAGCAGCTGCAGCTCCGGCAGCAGCAGCTCCGGCAGCAGCAACAACAATGTCGAGGCGAAACTCAGCAGCCTCGAGGATATGATCAAATCGATGAAGGAAGCCATCCAAGCCTTCCAAACGGAGAACGTCAACAGA